ACAGTATTCCTTCATGGAACGGCGATCCTGCCTCCTGGACAGAATACCGAAGAGCAGCCTTGCTCTACGTGGAGACAACCAAGTGGGAGACCCGCTACCTTTGCGGGCCTCGCCTGGCCAGTGAACTTACTGGTCCAGCGAGGGCCTCAATTGCCAACAAGAAGGCACAATGGTTGTCAACTCCAGACAGACGGCGTACACCGCCTCTTGAAGCACCTGCAAGGAGCTATTTCGGAGCCAATTCTGCCAGAAGTGGGAAACACCCTGCGGGCGTACTTCAAGCATCTTCGCAGGCGCAAGGGTGAGACTATGACCAGCTTCTGCGTCCGGCACCGTGAAGAATATGAACGAGTCTGCAGAGCCCTTTCACGGATGGTGAAGGACCAGAAGCCGCATGTGCCGGACAAGCGGACAAGATCGAGACGCACGAGCTGGCAAAGCGTGGCAACCCAAGGCAGGGATATCTCAGGGCCGGTGGCCCAGCAGAACAGTGTGGGACTTCCAGCGTTGGGAGAGGCAGCCGCCAGCGAGGTGGCCCCTCTCCAGGGGAGCCTGGAAGCGAGTGGTCAAGCACCAGCAGCAGGGAGCGACGCAGATGGCGGAGACCCTTGGTTGCAGTGGTACCAGACTCAGGGAGACCATGCCAACAGTGAGTCGGGTGACGGTGGACATTCTTCCCGATGTTGTTCAAGGGTGGCTGCTCCTTGAGAAAGCAGGCCTGGACTTGGAGAAGAGCATCATCCAGTCCGACATCAAGTCGCACTTCTCCCTTGAGGGGGTGGAAAACTCCTTGAGAGCTCACTGGACAGACGGCCAGGTTCGCCGAAGAGATGGTGCTGAACGAACCTATGGAGTGGGACCAGGGCTACTTTGAGAACTGGGACCCCTCCGACATCGCGCTCTTCCAGGAGGCCGGCTGCTGAGCAGGAAGCGTGGGCGCAGATCCAGGAGGGCCGAAGGACCCTCAAAGAGGCCGGGGAGAAGCAGAAGGCAGTGGGCTTGGGGAGACGTTATTTCAACCCCAAGGCCCGTGGCAAGGGCCAGGGGTACCGGCCCAATGAGGCAGACGACCCGCCTCCTCGTGGTCCGCCTCAGATGTGGCAAGGGACATGCTACCCGAGATTGCCCTCAGAAGCCTCCTGGTGAGTCAAAGAAGGTGCTACAAGCAGAGGCTCATTCCGAGTTCATCTGCTTCGGGGAGCACATGGAATCCTCCTTGTATGGTGACACTGAGGGCGAGATGTCCTGGCACCAAGAGGAGGGCCGCATGACCACCCATGAGGCCATGCTCAAGGGCTACAGCGTGCTGGATGGTGGCGCGACCCGCACTATGGGATCCATGGTGGCCTTGGAGCAGGCGAGAGAGGCCAGCTTTGAACACCAGTCCCAGGACAACGTGGCGGAGGTGAACCTTGAGGACCGCCCCACGTTCGGGTTCGCGGACTCTGAGTCAGCAACATGCCAGTCAACTGTGCTTTTGCAGCTTCCGATTGCAGATCGCAATCTGAAGTTGCGAGTCCACGCGCTAGACAAAGGTAGTGTTCCCGTACTTTTAAGTATTGACACGTTAAAGCGGTTGCAGGCCATAGTTGATTACTCTCGGGATGAGGTGATTTTTGGGGCCATAGACCCGTGTAAGCGTGTCAAGTTGCAGACGACCGTTACTGGTCATCAAGTTTTGCCTTTGGCGCAAGATTTTATGGTGGGAGCGCAGCAACTGCAGGCGCCAGTGAGGTGCCTTGGCATCCCCATTGAGTAGGATGGCAGACTCAGCTCAGGGCTGCCTGTACCTGAGTGTGAGGCCGAGCAAAGTGAAACAGGCAATCCCAGTGAAGTTTTCTTGCAAGCGGCAGCCAACTGCATGAGGGATTCAGTGAACCAACATGGCACTCAACAGGGTAAAGTTGTTTTCTCTTCCGTTGTTTCTAGCCCTCAAACCTGTAGGCCCGTAGCTAATACCTCTGCCTCCTCCTTCGACAAAGGCGTCCAACATGAGCCAATCCCGAGGTCCGTTGAATCCGCAGCTGACCATGGCGATCAAAGCACCCAGTGCGTGCACCAAGCCCGAGTGTGTGCAGGAACTCCTCTCGTTCGGGGTGGATGCGCCAGACAGTCTCACAGTGGTGGAGTTGCGAGCCCTGGTGAAGCGCAACAGGGTGTCCCACGGCTACATGAGAGGCCCCTCCGACCCGAACGACCTCATGCAGCAGATCCAGAAGGGGACGCTGGCCGAGCTCAAGGTCTTTGCACAGAAGCACCAGATCAACCATGCGGCCAACATCAGCCATGGAGACCTTCGTCTTCACCTTCGTCCTACCGCAGCGGCACTCCCGAGACGGTGGTGTCCTTTGGGAGGCACCAAGGCAAGACATTCCAGGAGGTGCTCCAAGAGGACAAGCAGTACCTCGAGTGGGGTTTGAAGGAAGCCAGCAGCAACGCCAGTACTGGATGGCAGCTGGACATGGGCAGTGTTGGACGGCCACCTCGACTCACCGTTCGATTCTGACATGAAGGGCCGTGTCACCAAAACAAAGCTCAGCCACGGGACCGAGCTGGAGAGCATCTTGGCGATCGGCCCCGACCAGTACAAGATCCCCGAGAACGACCTCAATCCATCAAGAAAAAGCAGGCCAATGGCCCGACCTCACCTTCGAGGAGCTCAGCGGCCAGCAGCAGCGGCGCGGCCATGACCACGGAGGATGCGGCAGAGCTGTTGAAGACCATGAGGGCCACGCAGACCGAGATTCGTGCGCTCAAGGAGGCGCAGGAGTCCACCAACGAGCCGAAGCACGAGAAGGTGCGTTGGCAGGAGTGAAGTTTTCTCCTTCCGGGGGCCTAGAGGGACCCCAGTGCGCCAGGGAGAAGAGCCAGTTGGGTTCTAGGTGTAGTTTGACCCCCTCTGAGTGTCGGTTGTTAGACGGGTGTTCTAGGGACTTCGTGTATAACCAATATAAGGCTCTTCGGGACCCTGAGCACTTGTTTCTCATGGAGCTGGCATGCTCCAAAGAGTCTGTGTTGACCAAGGAGGTCCAGAAACAGGGCTTAAGGGCTGAACGATGTAGTGTTTGGAACGGGTTTGATTTGTCTACGGTTGCTGGGGTTAGGAAGTCGCTTCAGCTGGTTCAGTCTGAAGCCCTGAACACCTGTGGATCGCCACCGAATGCACAGCCTATTCTCCAATGCAAAACCTGAATCAGCGCGACGAACAGCAAAAAGTCCGTCTCCACCAGAAGCGTAGGGAACAGAGAGTTCAACATGTGGGGGCCTTGATTGTTGCTCAGTTCGCTCATGCGCTCGGGGTTACGGTGCACTGGGAATGGGCTCGTAGGTGTAGAGCTTGGAAGTGGGGTTTGTTCAGGGAGTTCCAGGAGGTTTGTGGTACTCATACTTCCGTGATAAGCTGTTGTCAGGTGAATGTTCGGGACCATTCGGGACAAGCCTTGTTAGGAAAGGAGTGGCGCATTGAGAGTACTTCAGCCTCGTTTGCGCATGCAGTGCAGTTACCATGTCCTGGAGA